CCTATTTCTCCACATGACTCTTCTAACAAGGTATTTTGGCCAACTAGAGCCGACCATCTGAGCCGCTGTGGCCCTCACTGGCTCATCTGAACCTCATGCTCGGTCATGAAGCGGCGGCGGCGGCTGTATTCTGTCCGGCAATGGTCGGGTACGACGGGCTGGCCTCCTAATCCCATCAGCTCGGCGACTGTACCGGCCACCAGCTCCGACACTGAGCGCAATCGATCATACTAGTGAGGCGCGGACTGTCCGCGGGGGCAGCTGCTGATAGGCGGACTGCAGGCTGCTGAGAGGTGGGGCTGGGCTGCTGATAGGCGAATTGAGCTGCTGAGCGGCGGGTCTGAGCTGCTGAGAGGCGGACTGCGGCTGCTGAGCGCAGGTCTGGGCTGTTGAGCGCCGGTCTAGACTGCTGAGAGGTGCAGGACAGGGCTGAATGAGTGAACAGTCATGGGGCTGAGCTGGGCTGGACTGCTGGGCAGTGGAGCTGAGCTGCTGAGCTGCTGAGCAGTGGGGCTGAGCTGCTGAGCTGCGGGACTGGGCGTCTGATTCGCGGAACTGAGCTGCTGAGCTGCAAGCCTTAGTTGCTGAGCAGCGGGACTGAGTTGCTGAGCGGCGGTCTGAGCTGCTGACCGGCGGAGCTCCTATTGCTGAGTAGCATCGTCATTAATCCGGCGCCATGGTTTATCGCGTTACAGCTCATACCGATCGCGGGCCGCATTCAGCGCTGTGGACCGACCGATTCGAAACGAGGCCATTCGTCTGTGTGCCGACACTGGGCTTATTGGCAACATGGCGGCTTTGGCCTCAACTCGTGTGTCGGTCGCCAACGGAATATCGCCCTCGACACGACCGGTTGTTGGCCCAGTCGATATGTTTGGTCTGCGGGCCGTGTGTGGTCGGCCGGTCGGTCGGCAGGCGGGGCGGACGCTCTGTTACACATTAAGGCACATATGTGTGTCAAAACAGTCGAGCGAATATGCAGCTGAACGTGACGAATGGCGATGCTAGCTGACCTACCTGCCGTGGACGACTCCGCTTGGCGCACTACCGGGACACATACCTGTCCTGGAGTGCCCCCTTGAGTGTCCTCGTTGAGTGTTCTCATTGAACGTCTTCGTTGAGTGCCTGCGTAAAGTGGCTCCCTGAAGAGCCGCCCGCCCCGAAGAACCAGCGGCATCTCCCACGCACTCCTTCCGTGTTGTCGTACTCGCGCGTCGGTAACCGGCTCACCACGCAGGCGCTAATGAAAATATGTCGTGCCGGGCGGTCGGTGGGGTCGAGGGTCGCTCATTACCAGGGTTCCCAGCTGCTGCCGCACGTCTGGGCAGTACCTGGTATACACTCTCCCACAGCGAGAGTCGAGGGCTAAGGGAGACCTGAGGCTGGACGACGAAAGGCTTAGGAAGTCACATCTCTGGGCTTACTGGTGCGAAGAAGGCTTGCTGCTACAATGTAGGAAGGCTGTGCTAGGCTGACTCTTTTGATCCAAAAGAGGTTTAGTCCACTCTTTTAATCAGAGAAGACCCCAAGTACCGCGGGAGGGCTGTTGGAGTCATCGTTGGCGCAGGAGACGGCAAAGGTGAGAGGAAATATAACGAAGAATTCGGGTAAGCCAGTCGCAGGGACTATAGCTCAGCGACTGCAATGAAATCCTGCGGAAAGTATAAGTGACAGGCACTTACGAAAGATAAGACAAGAAGTTGCTGGGGACGGGGACGAAGGCAGGCATCAGCTCGAAAGGACGAATCTCAGAATAGCTATAGCAGGTCGCGGATCCTCTTTTCCCAAGAGACCTCGGTATAATTCCTGACGCGTATAGATGGTTAGGAGTTACGATGCACGAGAGCGTTAAGAGTTCCCTGAACCAGCGATTACGAAGCGGGACTCACCAGCTGTATGGGACATCAGACTGGACAGATTGCCCACCTCACATCGAGCGTGGTCCCTGAAAGGCCATTGCCGTCGGAACTGAACCGCCTGCAATGTCGTCAGAGCCTCAAATGAACATTTACTGCGGGCTTACCGCACTAACTGCCCGGTCTGCCGGGACAGCTCGGCAGCAGAGATTTACTGGTGTGCGTTGAAAGGGTGCTTGGAGATAATCGAGCGGCGCAGCGCTTCACGAAATTCAAACGGGTTTTCGGTTGTCATTCTTTGCACACAGAACGATAAAATGATAATTTTATTCGGGCCGAAACGTTCCTCACAAGCAAAACAGACTTAAAAGCTGATATCATCATTCATTGAAATTGGGTGGGCCATCCTATTCCTTTCGGCTATCGTAGTTGCGGCTTTCGAGCTCAGCGAGCAATAAAAAACCGTTGTCTCGCAACTATTTTTGTTTCGAAAATCTACACCTCATCACTTGTTTCTCTTTAGTTTTTGCTGTCGTCTTTGAACTAAGCCATCAGTATATAATATTTAGTGTACCTACGGAGGTGCCAATGACGCCATATTCATTAGTGTCATCGAAAAAGGACCAACACCCGAATCATTTCCCTTACTGCGCTCCCACATTTGTTCAGCACTGACAGTTGTTTAGGCCGCGCGTCTAAAAGCGGAGTGACATTTCCGAGACGGTCGGAAATCGATGAGTCGGCCGGGAAATGGGCAGTCCGATTCGGGCCACTGACGTCACCAAAGTGGTGTGTGACGTCACCGGGTGATTGCCGATCCGCCCATTGAGCGACAGACCGGCGCGCCGGCTGGCCTGGACGCGACTCCTGATTGCTCGTTACAGTGACACGGCTCTGATTAACGCTAATTATTGGGAACGTCAAGTGCAGAGCAACTAATGAAAGAGGAATTTCGTCATAAATATGGAGCTCTCGTTGGGCATTGACAGAAGCCACTGGCGGATCCAGGGGGAGGGGGCATTTAGGGCCATGCCCCCAAAGCCCGTTCCCCCCCAAAAACTGAGTTTTAGCATTACGCCTATGACGGTGCATGGAAAGAAAGAGCCGTTTCGGCCATTTGCCCCCTCTCCCACCCCCGCCCCCAAACGTCCGGCTAGATCCGTCAAGGACAGAAGCTCTTTATTTTATAGATAAGCACGTTGCCAGGAAATAAACTCCGCAACAATATTACTAGACACACTGCTTGCAAAAATTAATGACTAAATTTATACGACGATTTATACGATTTATACGACGATTTATACGATTAATACCTAAATTTATGCGACTTATGTTGTCTGTGATGTTGTCATTTGCTCAACACCCCTACAAAAGTATCATCATTTGTACCGCACCTCTACGACCATCCAGTAACACCGGCAGTGCACGCATTGTCGTGACGACATGTCCTCGACCTAATGAGCCTTCACCAAGCAGGTAATGTCCTCAGGCGAGTCACGTGACCTGTCATGGGCGGTGGTGATGCGCTCACAGAGTCAGTCACGTGATGCGCGAGCATTGGTGTCACGAAGCTGCGACGGTCACCTCGCACCAGGTGGTGGTGTCAGTCAGGGTGACAGGTGGATGACAGTTAAGACATGCTGGTGACAGGCAGATGACAGTGGGACAATATTAGTGGCATTGACGCTTGACTGGTGAAGGCCATGAGATGACAGTTTCCACATTTCCACATTTCTCCACATTTCTTTTTTACATCCCTGTGTACTTCGCTGAAGAATGTAACCAAGGTGCACTTTGCTTCGACGCAGAAGTTCAATTGAACTTTTAGGTCCGTTTGAAGTTTTGACGTCATTCTATTTCTATCTTTTTTTCCTCAAGTACAGAGCGGTATGCAGAAACACGCATCTACAATCCGTATCTGAAACGGATTTCTTGCAACATTGACAGGCCAGGGTATTTCTTACATTGTGACGTTGCAAGTGTAGCTGTGATTCTGCTTTTCATCTACATATTAAACATTCTGTCAATATCTTGTCATATCTTCATCTATGCTTTCCCAATTTGGACGGGCAATGCTAATTCTAATGCATGCCTGTCTGGGGTAACACTAAGGAGGGTATGACAATGCACCCCTGCGTTAATGGTCGGCTTTACTTGCATTGGCCGAAGGGGAGCGTGATGATAAATGACAGTGGTCGCCCCTTTCCATAAATATTATAAGTCACTTTGTGGAAACCCCTCGCTTGATGGTATATCCCACAGCTGGGCTATGGGCCGGGGATTAGTGTCCATTATCGCCTGATGTAAATATGAGATCCAGATTAGCACCACAGCGGTCCCTGTATCCATGATACCACAATGGAAGGTGTTTACTCGGTCTGCAGCGTATGCGTAACAGAGCACGGATAATATCAAGATAGCCAAAAATCGGCCCGGGATCTGAATGTCATATACATATTGTGATTATGGACGCCGTAGCAAATTTATCATGGCGATCTGCAAGTTAATGCAGACAACTTCTGGGGACAAACTTAGCTTGATGGAAGCATGTGATTAAGCATGATTTTTATGTGCATTTAATATGCTAGGTTATCAACCGCCTATCTCATTGCCGGCTGCAAAATTGCCTTTTCGTGCGTTTTTTGCTTTTACACTTACTTTATTTATATCATACATGCCGTATGATTCTCAATCAAAGATGGATCGTATTACACGAATCCCGCCAATCCCGTCATGCCAGCCAGTAGCATCCCATATAGCATCAAAACAGCCAGCATTCCCGTTGAAAATAATGTAGTAAAATGTACATTTTAAAAATGTGTAACGTAGTTTTGAAAATCGGAATATCAGTGCAGCATAGGTACACTAGGCGTCGGGTGGTCCGGGTTTTCAATAATGCCTATTATCTTAATAAAATATGTTAAGATAGCGCATAGTTTGAGACTGTGTAGTTGCCTAACTGATCTCAATAATTCGTCCAACCTCGAAAATGCTTATTGTTGTAATGACTAATGATGGTGCATCGAATTTTTAGATGAAAATTGTTCACTCCCATTTCCACTCAAACGTTTCAGCCAGGGGCGAGGTCTGCCAATGGGTATTATCAACATAAAACTAACCCTGTATCCTCTGTTCTGCTCTCAGGCCAGTACCGGTCGCCGCGCATCTCGGAGCACCCGTCGGACACGATCGTACCCAGGAACGACCCGGTCACCCTCAACTGCAAGGCCGAGGGCCGTCCGCCACCCGAGATCCTCTGGTTCAAGGACGGCCAGATGCTCAACTTCAGCTCGTCACACCGGGTCACCCTGCCCGAGGGGGCGCTCTTCTTCCTCACCGTGCAGCAGAACAGCAAGGAGAACGACGCGGGCGTGTACTGGTGCGTGGCGCGCAACGAGGCAGGCCAGGCGCGCAGTCACAACGCCACACTCAAAGTTGCAGGTGAGTGCCGCCGGCCGCAGCTGCAGTGTCACACACAGAGCTAAGAGACGTATAGGTGTGTGAGATAAGAAAATATTGCAATTACATGAGTTCAAACAGAGAATAGAGCATGGACCTCGCTGTGAACGCTTCGCACACTCTTATGCTTTTTGGCCTAGTGGATGTCATAAATCTTATGCTGCTTGATATAATAACATTTCAGCTAGTACGAAAACTTCACTTATTCCCGCATCTATACGGCTCAGTCATGATTCCAAACCTCTCTCTGCCCTTCCCCGCACCTTCCCGACCGCTCAGTCTCCTCCGACGGCTCGTGATGATATCCCGTGCGCTGCTGTTCATTTCAATTCAGTGGACGGCGGTTTTTGCGGCTTTCTCTCCGTCTAAAGCCGTCGCCCGCGGGGTGCTTTCGGCGATACCTGATGCTATCTGTCCGACGGGCCGACACCTTATGCCGTGATCGGTAATTGCTGATTAACCCTCGCATGTGTGCGGCGTTTGCCAGCTTCTAATGTGTAGGGGGGGGGGGGTCGGTTGGACCCCCCTCTTGCCGTTTGGCCCCTGATCGAGCTAGAGCTTCGCGGAAAAAACGAGCGTGTTGCCCGTGACGAGAGGAAGCCGATGATACCCAATTTTAAGGTCCTAGGTCATTGGTTGACCTTCCAGGTCAGGTCAATGACCCAAAGTCGGGAAAATCGGGACCTGTTAGAAAGTCGTAAAGTGTGGCTGCTAAGGGGTTTTTCGGGGTGCTGATCACGAAAATCGTGTTAGTTTTGATCACAGATGATGTCTTGAAGCATTTAGACCAGGTCGGGTCAGGTCAGGTCAGGTCAACCAGTAGGCGTCGTGACGGGTATTCGTAGTACGTGTCAACCGCCTCTGACAGCTTCGTAACATGTTACGAAGTCACCAAAACTACTTTGTAAATGTTCAAATGGTTGCTAAATTCGAATTCAGCTCCAAAAACTAGCCTAGAAACATGTAAAACTCGAAAAAGTGACCCGAGGTCACCCGAGGTCACCAAAGGTCAATGACCTGACCTGACCTTCAGGTGACCTTGACAAACACGGGAGTAACATCTAATCACATGTTTGAACGTTTGAAACCACGAAAAGCTTGCAAACACGCGGCTAGTGCGAGCCGACATACGCGAAATAGCGATTCCGGCCAAACATGGTCTCGGAAAAGAGGTCACAGGTCAAAGGTCATTTGGGTCAGGGTCATGAAATTTTCAGGGTAGGTGTAAAATTGATCAATGCGAGGGTACTGAAAGTTTCGTCGCGATCGGCCGCTTTTTACGCGAGTTATTCGCGAAATACCATGGGGGGGGGGTCCATCCGACCCCCCCCCCCTACACATGCGAGGGTTAACATGCGGTGGTCTATAGCTCAGTTAGTCTCAGTGTGCACTGTGCAGCACAAATACTGGTTGTTTACGTCCTATTCCTACTTTTGTTTTCTTTGCATACTTACTTTGCATACTTTCTTTGCATATGTAGGGGTAAATTTTGTCCTTATATAACTCAGGGCTTTGTGTTGCCGATCGATGCAATACATAGATCCATAATCATTAGCGGGGTGGCGAAAATTCGATATCATTCTAGTTCTTTGGAATATCGAAGATAAAAAACGTTGGTTATTAGTGTTTCTGTAGTTGGTGATGTTTGCATACCAGGACAGTGCGCGACATGTTATGCACTATAAATTGCGAAGTAAGTTGCTTTGCCAAAGAAGCCATGTTTCCAGCCCCTAATGACATTCCCATTCATGTCGCACGAATGCACCGTGAAGTCCGTAACAACCGTCACGGTGTCATAGTGTGGTCAGGCTGGCTCGTTCCGCAAACCATTCGGGGACACCATGCGCCACAAAGTCGTCATTCCGCCCTGGCACAACACACACCAAGGCTGTAGGTAGTGGGACGATCAATCGTATACCGCGCGCTGGCCGGGAGCGATCACGTGACTGGACGGTGCGGTCACGTGACCGGCCGATGCCTGAGGCGGTGTGGGTCGCGGCAGGTCGCTGTCACCCAGCTGCCGTGGTCGCCGTAGAGGCACTATAGAAGGGGCTCGCAGACGGCAGCTCTCAAGGCGGATAGAGGGCCGGTGTCGCACGTCACTCACGAGACGAGATCAAACGAGCCGACCGGCGAGATCGCCCTCGCCTCGAGACCGTCTGTCGTCTTTAGAGCCCTCTGCGCTGAGCGGGTGGGCCGGCCGTCTTCAGTTCGCCCACACAACCCTGCAGAGGGATTGAAGAGATATGCTAGACTCCTAAATGACAGCCATGAATATTCTACAGCGGTGTTAAATATTCATCTTTCGTGCGAGCATTTCACTTGATTAGACCACATTTACTTTATTGAAGTGCTGATCGGAGTTTTACGTGACCATGATGAACGTGACGTGGTACCTAAGTCTAAATTCAGCTCATTTGCTGAATGTCCAGACATTGATGCCATAACATTTACGGTTGCAAAACTACTCGAGGCGCCTCTGAGTCCATTCAATCAATACAAATGTGCTGGAGTGCCGCCGCGAAGACCCCCGCAGTCTATTGATGGGGCACTTGGGACGGCCCTGAGGGCGCTGACCTTGACATGAGCGGGCTCTGCAATTAATCCGACTCACGCTACTGAAACTGCCGGTGGCAACATACAGCTGTTTGAGTAGATCCATGACTGGCTGGAGTGGCATCATTCAGAGACTTTCTCAGAGTGAAAGGGCTTTGCAGACCTCCTTTTCAGTGCGCAAGAAATAAGCAATAATCAGAGATGGCTGCTGGAAAGGAAGAGCGGTAGGCATTACCGGTACCTTTAAGTTTTCTGATGTTGTTGCTGCTCATGGGACACAAAGGAGATATGCATTTTCATAGCCAGATTAATTACTGATGATTGATTATCGATTATCGGCGCGGAGATGAATGATGACCGGGTGAAAGGTGTCGGCTGACAGCATCACCTTAGCTCGGTGCAGCATATCGGACGGACGTGCCGCTCGTGGTCCAACTCCGCTCCAAATTGAAGGTCGGTCGTCACTGACCCGCGGTTGAGTCCACTAACCCTACTGTACCGAATGATTTATGACGTTTCGGTAAATAGAGGTCGGCATGTTGATGTGCCCGTCGATAGGATAATGGCACATGTCGTGCATTATCACAATCACGGGCTGGTCCGTGCATTATAGTCTTCCTACGCTTGAAGTAGGTCATGTCGTATATTTCGCAGACTAAATTGAGATTAGAATGATTCTCAGCAGATAAGTGAAAAGTTTTTTTTGGGTGCATCATAGGGCTGCCCTTTAAGTGATCGAATTTTTCTCAGAAACAGTTAAATGTCACTGATTGTCCGCGACGATGAACCTCCCAGTGTTCACAGAAATCCACCTCGATGTGTATTTTGCTCAAGTAAAGCAATTGGATGAAATGAAACTAAGAGTAATATTTAATGGAGGACATTGTGGCTTTAGTGGTGAGACGTAAAACTGCAATACTTTTCACTGCAATGCAATGGTTATCATCAGCCGCGTTACAGCCATTGTCTTCAGCTGCAGTCTTATATCCCTCCCATGCAATCTGCATTCGGTCTTTATACCCCGGCTTGTCTGTGCATTGGTGATTCGTGGCGATTCTGTCCATTGTTTAGTCGACTTTTCGCCGCGATGCGCCAAAAGACGCCGCAAAGCGCCACAAAAGGCACGTGTGCCAGGGCATATTTTAACAAATTTTTACTGCGTCCCAAAGTTGAGCAGAGGGCACGTGCTGTCGTGCTACGACTAAGGGCACAGGGCAAGGAACAGAGTAGGGCACTGAGGAGGGCAGAAAGTAGGGCATGGCAGGCTACAGGGCATGGCACAGGACATTTTAGAGGGAAGGGTACAGGTCAGGGCACACAGCAGGGCACAGGTCAGGGAACCGGACAGGGCACAGGGCAAGGACACAGTGGGTCAAATCAGCAGGGGCTACGTCCCAAGGCGAGGGGGCTGCGTCCCAGAATGGGACGCAGTAGGTGCCTTAAAATATGTCCTGACGTGTGCGCCACATCTAGTCATCGACAGTGGCGTTCGCCAGAGCAGCGTGTTGGCGACTGTGAGATAGTGCTAGATGTTCCAACATGTAGGGCACCCAAAAACAGAACGCTACAGAACACATCTCATTTGATCTGACCTGAACAGCGGGCTCATTCGACTTCACACATACGCAACTCAATGTTCGGACCTTTCCCCTGAGCTCTGCTGCGTTACAGCTCCCTAGCATGAGCTTATCGATTCTAGAACAGAGCTGTAACTATCCCAGTCGGTTATTGACCGTTGGTTCTGTTTGCTTTGGTCATCCGGCAAAGCTGCCTGACCCGATGGACCGTACTGAAGGTCCTTATCATCAAAGAACAACAGATTCAGACGCCCTATCGATCACTGCATTCCTCTAACCCACGTGGCTTCAAAGATTTGCTCTGTGATAGTCGTGTACATGAACGTGAATGAACGTAGACGTTGTGTGCACAAATATGGCCAGTTACAGACCACTTGAGGAGCACAGGGTCATCCTGTCTGGTATCCGTCCTTTGAACTGCTATCCATTGTTTGTGACGAACAAACATGCATGCTTTCCGGCCTGCATTGTGATCCCTGGTCCTGCAGGCTTCTGGCAATGGCTGAGCTCAAGGGGATTGAGTGATAAGATATTGCTCTGTGTCAAGGAGTAACTTAATTCCGGAATGTCACGTTTGAATTCTTAAACTAAACAAGAATCTTTTTTTTTTTTGCTTTTGTTGACCGCAACACGCGGTATTTCCGATGAGGTTGCAATCTCATGCGACTCAATACAGCTTTGAGTGTGCCCAGGGAAGTTTGTGGAACACCACAAACTCCCCCATCAACTTATCCATTTATAATGCGTTATTATATCTTACTTTACCTTAAAACTATGTAATCAATAAAAATGGTAAAATTTACCTTATGCTCATAATATCGGGTAAATTAATTGAAAAGTTCGAAAACA